TCCTCTTCTTCCTCCTTCCTTCCTCCTTCCTCCTCTTTCCTTCCTTCTCTTTCTCTTCTCCTCCTCTTCCTCTTCCTCCCCCCTCCTTCCTCGTCTTCCTTCCTCCCTTTTCCTCTTCCGTCCCCCCTCCTCCTCCTCCCTCTCTGGGGCTCCAGTTGAAACAAGTCTGAACTTGGCATTAAGACCATCCAGGCTTCTGGTCTCAGCTGACCTCACTGTTTGTAGCCACCTGGGTCCTTCAAGGGCAGCCTCAGTAGTCGAGCCTGGCTGCTCCAGACCTGTAGCCTCCCGGGTCAGGGGTCTCCAACCTTGGCAACTTTAAGACTTGTGGACTTCAACTCCAAGAATTCCTCAGCCAGCAAAGCTGGAAGTTGAAGCCCACAAGTCTTAAAGTTGCCAAGGTTGGAGACCCCTGTGCTGGGTGGTTTAGAGCCCGACTCACCATCCCCACCTGGCAGCTGCCAGCATGGCATGTGGCAAAGCGGGTTGGGAAGGCTGGTCCGATTTTCCCTTCAGGGCCAGGGGTGCAAGAGGTTGTGTGCACTACCCACAGATGATATATGGCCCACAGCAAGGGAGAAAGCCCTGCAGTCAGGGGTGCGATTCAACTGGTGTAACAGCCGGTTCGGTGAGCATGTGTTTTGCTTGCGCGCAGCATTGGAAAAGCATTTCAGAGCATTGAAACTTACTTCCTGCTGCAGTCCCAGTGAGTAAATAAGCTGAGGAGCGGCAATGCGCTGATCCGCACCAAACAGCTAAGCTGAAAAACCCCGGAAATGAAGGACAGAACAGGGCAGGGGCATGTGGGCGGGATCAAATCGTCGCCATAACAACAGCGGTAGAATCCCACTCCTGCCTGCAGGTTGAATTTCTGCCTGCCCCACCCACCGTGCACGATGGGGCCCTCTGAAGCAAGGGAGGTTGTGCCGGGTTCCTTGCCAGGACCTGGGTCTTTGTCTCCGGTGGGTCTATGACTGGGAGGTTGGGTGGGTGGGTGGGGGCTTAGAATGGCTGCCTTTCCCGAGCCCCCAGAATCCTTTCTGCCTCTTATGTGCAGCTCCATGGAGAATCTGTTTCTCTCATTGTTGTCTTCCTCTCCGCCAGAAAGGAAGCTGTAGGTTCTTGGCAGACCCTGGCCCAGATGGAGGGAAGAGGCTCAGCGTGCCTCTTACAGGCAGCCCCTCCCCCCCGTGTGTGTCTCCCCCTCCCTCTTCTGGGGGGGGGAGGCGCAGCTCCCTCTCACTCATTTCCAGCCATTCCCTGCCTCTCCAACCACCCCCGTCCCCTTACCCAGGATCTACCTGCGCCTCAGGAAAAAGAATCTAGGACAGAGATCCCCAACCTCGGCAACCGGAGGACTTCAACTCCCAGAATTCCCCAGCCAGCACAGGTGGGCGTTGAAGTCCCTCCAGGCTTAAAGTTGCCAAGGTGAGAGACCCCCTGAACTAGGGCGGTAATCGCCAACCAGTGGGCCAGGGACCACTGATGGTCCGCGAGAAAATTTTGATGGTCCGCAGAGAAATGTCGCGCACCCCCCCCCCCAAAGCAGCCCCCTAAGCAATTAATCCAGGCTGCACAGGAACACAAGGCTGCGCCGCCTACATGGCTTGTGGGAGCACAAGGCTTACATTGCGAACAACACGAGGAAGGGAGGGGGGGGAAGGGCAGAGGGGGGGAAACGTGCCCCACGCGCCTCGCCTGGCCACCGGGCTGCTTCTTTCCGCTTCTTTCTTCTTCTGCTTTTGGCTGCACGCAAGGAAAGCCGCAAAAGTCTTTCTTTCTCTCCCCCCAAACTTTTCCAGAAATGAGTCTTTGGGACCCTGCAAGGCCTCCTGCTCCAAGAGGCTGCGCCAGCATGACAAGACTCACAAAGACTCATTTCTGGTGGAGTTTGGGGGAGAGAAAGAAAGACTTCTACTGCTTCTGCTGCTTTCCTTTCATGAAGCCAAAAGTCTCTCTCTCTCTCTCCTCTTGAGAATGGAGCTGGAGATGGTATCCTGCGATCCTAAATAAAGAATGATCGATAGGTAGGAAAACAGGGTGGAGAATTTTCCCTGCAGACTTTTGGGGGGATTTCCCCAGGGTCTCTCATCCGTGGGATTTAAAATTATGAGTTTGGTGGTCCCCAAGATCCAAAAGGTTGGCGACCCCTGCTCTAGGGTACAGACAGTCCGCAATCGGCATCGAGATTTCCATTGTTAGGCAAGGCAGTTCGGCCATGCCTGACTTTATGACCTTTTTGCTCTGGTTGTTAAGCGAATCCCTGCCGTTTGCTAAGTGACTCTGCCCGTTGATTCTGCTTGCCAGAAGCCGGCTGAGAAAAATCGCTAGGAGCGTTCTTCAGGACACCGCAGTCTTTTGCATATAGGTGCCAGTTTGCGACGGTTGCAAGTGCGAGGACCACTTGTGAATAATTTTCACAGCAACTGTAGCTTTGAGCGGTTGCTCAGTGGATCATTATGAGTCAAGGACTACCTGTACACTTTGCAGAATAAGATGCAGGTTTGCAGGCTGAAGCCTTGGGATGCTCCAGGCTGATCCCCGATGGGAGCTCAGCCTCTCCTCCTGCCAGCCTGATGTCCCCCCCAAAAACAGAGGCTCTCTGCGTCCCGTCCCCCTCCCCCGGAGTCTGGGGAGGAATCGCCAGCAGGGCAGGACCCAGGGAGCAAAGGTGCGGCTGCTTGACGGGCCAAAGCCAGGGGCCAGGGGAGGCGCTCTGCCTGGGGGACCCCCACCTCTCCCCCCGTTTTTGGCTCTGCATCCCTTGGGCTGGATGGGTGCTGAAAATCTCCCTTTCTGCAGGTGGCTGGCGTGACGATGCTCGCCCGCCCCCTCCATTTTATGCCCAGGGAGCATTGGGGACTTTTTGGAGGGGCTTAGCCTGCCTGGCATTTGCGCCTTCCTTGTTTTTTTGGGGAAAAAAAACACAAACCTTTCCTTTCGTAGGTTGTGGGTCTTCTGCTGCCAAACCAGACTCTGGCCTCCACCATCTTCTGGCAGGTAAGGACCGTTTGTCTGTCATCACCTGGAGGAGGAGCCTCTGCCTGTCTGTGTATTTCGAGCCGTGTGTCAGGATTCCGGCAGTTACCCCCAATGAAATCATGAGTCTTGAGCCAAACTTCCAAAACTAAACAGGATTTATTTGGGAATTCACATGTCCGGCAACTGCCTGGGTGTAGCCGACTCTGAGACACATCATTCATTGTCACCCTTGACCCGGGTTTCCCCCACCCCCACCCCCTGGGTATATCATAATTCATATTCTCCAGTGGGACACCTCCATAACCAAACGTCATCGATCAGGTTTTCCAGTTAGAATTTTGCGCGGCAGAAACTTCAGTCACCTAGTTATTATCTTTTAAAAAAGAATGGAATGCACTTTCGGTTTTCAAGCTGCCGCAGTGCTCTTTCAAACCCTTCCTCCCCCCTCCCTTTCTGTTGGCAACTCTAAAAAGACCATAGGGATATTTTATGACATAGTGATCTCCTCAGGCCATTCCTTCCTTCCTCCCTCCCTCCCTCCTTCCTTCCTTCCTTCCTTCCTTCCTTCCTTCCTTCCTTCCTTCCTTCCTTCTTTCCTTCCTTCCTTCATCTTCTGTGCCACCCATCTCACTCTTCAAAGTGACTCCGGGGCAGCTGTCATCATTCATGATTGATGGGGGTGGGGTGGGGGTCTCTTCTCTCACAGATACGAGCAGCATCGCCTGGACTGGCTAACCAGAGGCTGGCCAGAGAGGCTCACCTGGAAGGGCTCTTTTTGGCTCCTCCTCCTCCTCCTCCTCTTTCTGCTGTAGCGGTTCTGTCCGCCTGTTGCGTGTGTGCGCTGTGCCCCCACCTCTCCCGCTGCCTCTTAACCAGGGCTTCGTCCCTCTCTCTCTCTCTCTCTCTTCTCCTCCTTAGTGGTTGAACCAGAGCCACAACGCCTGTGTCAACTATGCAAACCGGAACGCAACCAAGGTGAGGCGGGGAGGGGTCTCCCCAAGAGAGCGCAGGGGAGGGCTCGGGCTTGGATCACCCCCTCCCGAGATGCTCCAGTGGCTGGGACTGGCCACCACATCATCCCCTGATGTCCAGATGCCAGGACTCAGCTAGGCCTTCCTGTCAGGCCCCTCTGCCATCCTTCAGAGCCCCCCCCCCCCCCACACTCCTCCTCTAAGGGGCCCACCCTTCAGCTGTTGGAGCCCAGCCAGAGGCTTGTGGTAGCATCCGGCCTTTCCTGCCTCCCGCCTTGCTCAGCCTCCGGCCCCGGAACGCCCCGCTGCAGGCCCAGAGGACAGAGGGTGAGGGCCCTGCTGCCCAGAGGCCTCCCAGTGGAGCTGTGAAGAGCGGGCTGCTTTCAGCAGGGGGCGCTCAAGGCCCGAGGAGGGGCTCACTTGCTCCTTCTCTGCCCCTGAGCCACCCCGGAGTGCCCCTTCCCCAGTTTCCTTTCTGTCCTTTTGCCCCCGCCCCCACTCTTGCTTGGGTGCTTTCTCCTATTAATCAGAGCTGGAAGGGGCCTTGGAGGTCCTCTAGTCCAGCCCCCTGCACCAGGGGTCTTCAAACTCGACAGCTTTTAAGACTGCTGGATTTCAACGCCCAGAATTCCTCCTCCAGTCACGTTAGCTCAGGAATTCTGGGCGTTTGAAGTCCACCAGTCTTAAACTTGCCAAGTTTGAGGACGCTTGCCCTAGATCATTCCAGACAAATGGCTGTCCGGTCTCTTCCTTAAAAGCCTCCAGTGTTGAAAGCCCCCACAACGTCTGAAGGCAAAGCTGTTCCACTTGTTCGTTGTCCTCAACCATTAGGAAGTTTCTCCTTAATTCCAGGTTGCTTCTCTCCTTGATTGGTTTCCCTCCATTCTTGTCCTCTTCCTCCTCCTTCCCAGCCGTCTCCGACCTCCAAATTCATCCAGGGCTACCTGGGGGCCGTGGTCAGTGCCGTCTCCATCGCGGTGAGTGGCCCTTTAAGGCTTCTTCTTTTCCCTCTTGGGTGGGTGGGTGGGGGAGGAGAGAGAACCCCTTAGGGCCCCTAGGGAGGTGGGGGAGTTTTCTGGCAGCAAGCAGATCCCCCACCCAAAGCCTTTGGAGTGAGGGTCCCCACAGGGCTGCAGTGGGAGTGGCAAAAGGGGGTCCGGGCACGCAGGACCTGCGGGGAGGAAGTGCTTCACCAGGTAAGGTCTTGTGCTGCCCCATAGAGGTGGAGGGCGCCCCCCAAGAGAGTCCCTCCCATCTCCCCCGTTTCAGCCAATGAGCAGGCTCAGTCTTGGACACAGCTGGCTTAGGAATTCTGGGAGTTGAAGTCCACAGTTGTCATCAAATTGGCCTCCTTGCCTACCCCTGCAGTAGACTGACCCGCGAGATGCTGCCAAGCTGACCTGTCTTCTGTCCCAGGGTCCTGGCTCCTTGGTCCAGCTCTCCTGCCCCGCTTCTCATTTTCCCTCCTCCCCGCCGGTCACCTGCCCCGCCCCGCCTCACAGCAACACCACTTCTCTGGTGACGGTTGCCCCCCGCCATCCTTCGGCTCACCTTGATAATTGTCTGCCAGGAGCCACTGCCGATGGCGTTGATAGTCTGCGAATCCCCCACCAGCATCTCCCGTGGACAGAAGGACCCCCACCGGCCCGTCTCCGCTGACCACTTAACACCGTGCGAGGCCTTGAAGTTGACTTGGCAGCAAGGAGCGGCAGCCTCCGGTCTCGGCTGCCTCCTGCCCCTCTCTGGTGGAAGCCATTAACTTTCTCCTCGGGAAATGGAAGGGGACGATGGGCTTTGCCTCTGACCTTGCAAGGGGTAGAATTCAAGGTTCCTCGCTTGCTTGACTGCTGTGCCGACTAATCCGACAGGGCCAGGGGGCTTCTTTGGAAAGAGCAGATGCCAACGTGGAGGATAGGGGTGTTGTGGTTCCCTTTGTCGCGCTTTTGTGATTGTTGGTTTGGAGACAGGTTGTCTCCTGTTGGAACCGGGTGAGGCGAGAAGAGGCCAGAAGAGCCTTTTGCTCTTCTTCGGGGTTTTGGGGGAAGGGGCTTCAGCGAGACCCCAGTTTTGCTCTCACGGCCTGCCACATGATGCTTGATTGTCGTTGCACCTCGTACCACGAAATTTAAATGCCACCTTCCGTGTACATCATGACTATGAAAACAAACGCAGACACAGACCCTTCGCATTCTATGCAATGGAATTGAAAACCCCTATAGCGCATTGATATTGCACGATAGCGATAGCATTTAGACTTATATACCGCTTTATAGTGCTTTACAGCCCTCCCTAAGCAGTTTACAGAGTCAGTCAGCCTCTTCCCCCCAACAATCTGGGTCCTCATTTTACCGACCTCGGAAGGATGGAAGGCTGAGTCAACCTGGAGCCCGGTGGGATTCGAACTGCCAAATTGTAGGCAGCTGGGCTGCAGCAGAAGTAGCTTGCAGTACTGCACTCTAACCACTGCACCACAGTAGAATTACAGTACAGTTACCGCCCTGGGATAGGAGCTGTTTTTCAGCCTATTTGCCCTTGTTTTTATTATCCTGTACCGTCTGCCAGGTGGTAATAGTTCAAAACAAGGGTGCTCAGGATGAGATGGATCTTTGAGGATGTTTTGAACTTTCTTAAGGCAGCCGGAGCCATAAAGCTCTCCAGGAAGGGTTTTACCTTCAGTTGATGAGCATTGAGCAGAGGGAATTGGGGGAGGGCAGAACTGGGAGGAATCCCTCCCTTGGACACCCAGCATGGGAGGGGCTCAGCCCCCTGACCTCCCTCGCCTCGCTTCCCCTGCAGGTGGGCCTTAACATTCTCATCCAGCGAGCCAACCACTTCACGCCAGCCACCCGGATCCTGATCCAGAGATTCGTGCCATTCCCTGCCGTAGGTGAGACCCTCTGCCCTCTCCCGCCAGGTCCACGGGAAGGGGGGCAGGAATCAGAGAGCCCAGGGTTCGAGTTCTAACTACCTTCTGTGGGATTGGGAACAGTAGGGACAGGGGGGCTTTCCCCCATCCCGTGGGGGGTGGGCTCTCCTTCCAGCATGGCTTTTCAGCTCTTCCCTCCCTTCCCAGCAAGTGCCAACATTTGCAACGTGGTCCTGATGAGACACACCGAACTGGAGGAAGGGATCGACGTCCTGGATGGGGAAGGGAACGTCGTCGGATCGTCCCGGATCGCTGCCAGACATGTATGTGGTTCCTGGGGGGTCCCGGCTGGCTTTTTTTTTTTTTTTGCCAGGGATGGGGGGTTTTGAGGGTCCCACTAGGGTCAGGCACAGGGTGGGCCTGCAGAGGCCCTCTTTGTCCTTGTGCCGCCAGCCCTCTCCCTCAAGCTTTGCCCAAACAGCCCCTTCCCCTTTGCAGGGGGTCTTATCTTCACTGCTCTGGGAGGGAAGGACGCCTGTCTTCTCGGCCCCGCTGGGAATTTCTCCTGCTGGCAGAGGTGGGCCGCGGGGGGCAGTGGGAGGGCATTCCTCTGGTAGTCAAGCATTTGGGGGAGTCCCCACACCCAGGGTGTCTTAAGCCTTGCCAGCAGAGGGGTGAGAAAGGATCTGGTGCTTCTGGGGTCCACGAGAGCAGGAAGCCTTTTCCCCCTCCCCTCCACGGTTCCCCTCGCCCCCCCTGAAAGGGAAGGGTCCAGTGCCCGGTGGTGGGGTAGCAAAAACGGCAGGAGGAGGGTTTCTAACTTCCCTGCCTGGAATTAATTAGCAATCGCCAGCTGCGTCTGTGGGAAGATGCTCCAGATGTTTCCTGGCTCCCACCCACACCTGCCTGCTCCCCCCCCAACCCCCCACCCCACCCCCGGTTCAGCCCTGCCATCTGCAAACACCCCGGGCCTTTCTGCTTCTGAGTAACTCTTTGCCAAGATAACCTACACAAAACCCCACACAACGTATTGCGTCCCTGATGGGCACAGTTGTGTCACTCTTGTGTTTCGCACCTGTTCAGCTGGCAGGGCCCCTGTGGGCCGGAGACCACCAGCCTTTGGGGAGTTAAGAGTCTCCGGGGCAGGGTCATGCCTGCCCCCTGCAGCCCCCTCGGTCAAAACATCTTTCTACTGCTTTTTATTTTTGGACACACACACACCCTCCGGACTCCCCACCAGAAGATCTCAGCTTCGCTCTGCTGCAGTCACACTTTGCGCCCGCTGAGCTGCTGCCTCCTCCGGGATGTGGAGCGGGGGAGGCACTTTGCAAAGAGCAGGGAGCGGGGGGCAGGTGCAGGAGACTGGGGCCCCTTCACTGAGCCTCGGCAAGCCCACAAGGGCAGGCAGATGATCCACAAGCCCAAGTTCCGTGGCAGCCCACAAATTGCCTCCCGTGGCAGCCCAGAAGGGTTCTGCGATGACCCAGAGGGGCGTGGCACAAAGGCAACACAGTCAGATGATCAGTAGGAGTCCCTGTATTAGCTCCAACTTTGCCCCCGATGTCCTGGTTACAAAGGAACAGCTTTTGGCTGCAGAGAATCAAGTCCAAAACGTGGTCAACAAAAACTGTAACTATAAGTCCACTCAAGACAAAATGAGGTGATTAGTCCAGCAGGGCATGAGCAAAAATTCCAGATGTGAAGGCACCGCAATAACTCAACACGGTTGGGAAGATGCCAGGAGCACAGATAACAAAGTCAACACAAGATAAACTCATGCTTGCTCCCAGCAGCTGCCACACTCAACATGCATTTCTTTTAAAACTCTCCTCCCAGCTCTGGCTAATGAAGGGAATCAGGGCCCTTCCCTCCCCCGTAAGCCACCCAACCCACATCGCTCTCTTTCTCCGTTTCTCCCTGCGTGCCCTAGGATGAAGAGGGGGTGGGCCTGGGTCTTCCTCTGAACCCCCGCTTCTCTGTTCTACCTCTCCCGTGCTCTGCCAGCTGGACTTTGCCCTTCCCCAGTTTCCTCCACAGCCAACGGAGCCACACTCCCACTCCCTGTCAGCTATTCATCTTCCTCCTCAGATTCAGACTCCAACAGGGGCACGACAACAGGTTGTGGACCAAGCTGCTCAGAATGTGGACAGGCACTTTGAGGGTACCTTTGCAAACTTGCAGGGCTGGGCATTAAGAGCCACGGCTCGCCCTTTCAGCCCTCATCCCATCAGGCAAGGAGGTGCCCAGCAAGGCATGCCCAGGGCACCAGGATGGGCACAGCCTTAGGAAGGGCCCATCTGCACAACCACAACATTCTCGGGACGCTCCACCTTGTGCCCCCCCAAGTTGTTCCTTCAGCTGCAACCTGCCAGGGCCCTTCAGAGCATGGACTCCGCTGTTCCGTCCTGTCTCCATGGAACACACGATCCGGGGGTGGGTGGGGGTGAGAGTGACCCAGCCCTAACCCCTGTGGGGGGGCTCTTCCTTGTGGCGGGTGAGAGAGAGAGAGAGAGAGAGAGAGAGACCGTGTCCCCCACGCCATGCGGAGCCCCCCCTCTTTCTGGCAGGAGGGCAAGCGGCACATCTGAAGTGGTCACCCACCATGTCTCCCCAGGCCCTGCTGGAGACGGCGCTCACCAGAGTGGTCCTGCCGATGCCCATCCTGGTTCTGCCTCCCATCATCATGTCCCTCCTGGAGAAGTAAGTGGGGCGCAGGTGGCACTGGGGGAGGACCATAAGGGAAGGGAAGAGGCAGGCTGGCAGAGGGAAGTTTTGGGGGTGTCATATTCGCAAACGCTTGTTTTGTTGATGCAAAGCAGAGGTCTCCAAACCGCTTTAAGACTTGTGGACTTCAACTCCCAGAATTCCCCAGGCCCGTGGGGTGAAGGTTAAGCCTGCCTGCATGGGAAGGCAAGTGGTGTCCGGCAGGAGGGCCAGAATGGGTGTGTGTGTGTGCTTCTGGTGGGTCTACATTGGGCTCCCCAAACTTGGCCACTTTAAGACTTGTGGACTGGCTGGAGAATTCTGGGAGTTGAAGTCCACAAGTCTTAAAGTGGCCAAGTTTGGGGAGCCCTTAGGCAAAGCAACGTGCTATTACAGCAACTTCCAGTCACTCCGGTTGCCGTCACATTCCGTCTTCTTGGGTCCGTCCACTTTTGGGGCATCTGCATAATTGATGAGAAGCTCCTTCGTTTCGGTGTTTTGTTTTTCTTTAATTAAATTTAGAAGCTACTCAACTCTGGGCAGCCGGCTTATAATTAAAGCAGAACCATAAAACTAAAAGATGAAAGAACCACGCGTGTCTGAGAAATGTGTACAATATAGCAAAAACAGTAGAAAGTCAGCATGTGTAGCTCAGGGTGGAGCTGTGGGGTCTCCGTTGGTGCACCCTGAGTTTGGTTGTTTTGAAGAAGTTTCTATGCCTTACTAGGTAACATCAAACAGTGCAAAAGAATGTGAGGTTTGCTTCCTGTTTATATAGATAGAGAGAGGTTTGCACTGCAGTATTGGTGAGTATATGGTTTTCTCCTTGGTAGTTACTTTGATGTTGACGTTGCTTTCCACCCATATTGTTTGCCTGGTGCTGATCCCTGCTTATCTCGGTGCTGGCTGTTGGAGAATGTGTGTTCTGGTCTTTTTTTCCCCTCCTTCTTAGCTTTTTTTTTTGTGTCTCTTGAGTGTGTAAATTTGGCTCATCACTATGTGTCTGTTGATGGCTGATTTGTCTGAATGCCAAGAGGAATTCCTTAGCATTTTTAGATTTTTTCCCCAGTTGAAACTGTGGTGGAGACTCTCGTATATTGTGCGATTAAAGAGTTTTCGGTGTTCACACGGAGTAAAAAGAAGCTCCGCCGCATCTTTACGGATCTTCGTCATCCACCCGCCCACCCGCTGTGTCCTCTCCCAGCCTGCGTTAATCAAACCTCTATATAGCGTAGTTCGACTTAGTTTTATTGAAAGTTTTAAAAATGAAAAAAACAAACTAAAATGAAGAAGAAGAAAGAAAAAAGGAAGAAAGGGGAAAAAATGGAAAAGAAAAGAATAAAGATAGAACTTCGAATCAGCTGAACTCAATCACGGGAGTAAAAGTTGGGTTGACCAAGGATGTTCTTGGCCTCCTCCATTTCCTGCTCCTCCCGCCGGCCTTGGTTCCTACACCTCTCTTGCATACCCTCCGGGAAAGGGGGGAGGCCCTTCAGACCTGCTTCGTCTCTTCCCCTCCGTTCCCCGTTCCCTCTTTCCTGGGCCTGCCTTCTCTCCTGAGTATGTGTGTCCACCCCTGATATTTCCTCCTTCCCTCCCCGTCCCCTCCTGCTGCGGGGACTCCCCAGTCTCCTCTTGGCTCCCTGGGGAAGCAGCCAGCTGGGCTCAGTGGCACCTATTTTGGGCTCCCCACTTGGTGCAGGTGTGTGTGTGTTTGTGTGTCTGTGTCCGCAGATGGGAAATGCCGCTGTTGTTGCTGCTGTAGTTGGCTCAGATTCCCAGGAAAAGAGAGAGGGGTGCTCAGTCCCCTCCCCACTGCCCGATCCTCGTGGGTGGGGGAGGGGACACTGCTTTTCCCAGCACCCTCTGCCTTTGGCCTCCTGCAGGCAAAGGATGTGCCTGGTGTGTGTGGTGGGGGAGAACGGGGGAGGGGAGGACTTCCTGTAAAGCAGAGGATCCACACGGGGTAACTCTGATCCTGAGGCTGCTGCTTGTGTGAACCCTGGGGGAGCCCCTGAACCTGGGTTGACTCCTTGGAGGACGGTGGCTTCAGCAGCAGAGAGAAGAAAAAGCGGCGGCCGAGAAGAGACACCCCCTCCCCGTCTTGCAGGCAGCTTTGGGGGTTCACAGGGACCCCTCGTTTCAAGCGGGCCTTGAAGGTTTCGTATCCTTTGAGCGTTGAGGACCTTGTGGACGGGGAGGGGGCCTTCCTTGTTGGAGCAGGGCACGGGGGGAGAGTGAGGCAGACTGTCCTGGACCAGGGGCTCAGCAGTCGGAGCGGGGGACACCCACAAGGGCCCCCTTTGCTACCCCAGAAACGCCTGCCTTCCCCCATTCCATCAAGGAGAGTCTTTGTAGCTCAGGGTTGAACTGGGGGCTCCTTGGTGATCTCTGAGCTGGGTGGTTTTCTTGCAGACGTTGCATGACCCAAGCTAGCACTGATGACATTACCTAGTTTGGGTCATGAAACACCTGCACGAAAACCACGAAACTCTGAGAGCACCAGGTCGAGGTCAAGGTTCCCCTCGCACCTGCGTGCTGGTTGTTTCTGGCTCTGGGAGGCGCTGCTCGTCTCTGTTTCAGAGCCAAAGAGCCCAGCATTGTCCAAAGTCGTCTCCATGGTCATGTGACCAGCATGACTGAATGTGCTGAAGGCGCACGGAACGCTCTTCCCTTCCCACCAAAGGGGCCCCTATTTTTCTACTTGCATTTTTAAAACATGCTTTCGAACTGCTAGGTTGGCAGAAGCTGCTGGGACAAGTAACGGGAGCTCACTCCGTTACGCGGCGCTAGGGATTCGAACCTCCGAACTGCCGACCTTTCTGATCGACAAGCTCAGTGTCTTAGCCACTGAGCCACCACATCCCTCTGAAAGGTCACCAAGGACCTCACAATCCCCTTCCTCCTCCCCCTCCTCCTCCTCCCTTCTAGTGCTGATGATGTTACCTAGTTTGGATAATGAGATGGCTGCAAGAACCGCCCCCCCTCCCAGCTCAGAGAGCACCAAGGGCCCCTCATTTCCCCATTTCATGCCCTAACCGATGAGACATCGATGGCAGCCGTGTTTGACTATAAACATGGCCCTTCCTGTCCCACCCGGAATCTGCCAGCTTCGGCGCCTGCCCTGAGCCCCGGCTATCGCCCACTCAGCGCCTCCGTCTCCTCCGAGGCACATGCCGGTCTGAAGCGCCGAACCTGAGAACGCCTGGGCGTCCCGAGAGCAACTTCCATATGGAAAGCATTGCAGGCCCTCCGAAAATGCTGGCGACAGCTGCCACATTATGCAGAACATGAACCGCTAATCAGCCATGTGCTGAAACGTGAAGGAAGGTGCGCATTCAAGCTCGGTGACATGCCGTGTCTGCAGCACAGATGCACCGTCTGCACCATCCTTCTCTCCGGGTCCCTTCCTGTGGGGGGGAGGCCTTGGCTTGCCCACCCCCCCCACCCCCTTGGGCTTTTGGAAGGGGCTTCCTGCCTCCTGAGACCCTGGCCACAAGAGGAAGGGGCTTCGTGGAGGGACCAGCCCCCAGAGGCCCTTGCTGTGAAGAAGGGCACTTGGTCGCTCTTAGCAGAGATACAGCAGAAGCCCCTCAGGTGGGACAAGGTGCCCAGTGACACCCCCCCCCCCCCCCTCCCCCACTGTCGGTTCCTGCCCGCTGCCGCCCCCCCCCCCAAGTATTAAGGGCCCCTTTTAAAAGCATTCTGGGAACCCCAAGGAAATTTGGGCCAATGCCAGCTGCTCTCCTTTTCATCAAACCAGGCCTCCAAAGCAAGGGGTCTCCAACCTTAGCCACTTTAAGACTCATGGACTTCCGCTCCCAGAATTCCGGCTGCCTGTGGAATTCTGGGAGTGGAAGTCCACAAGTCTTAAAGTGGCCAAGTTTGGAGACCCTTCCTCTAAAGCAGGTTGCAGGGTCTGCGTGGAGTGGGGGCTGACGAGCACTGACCAGGGTGGGCTGCAGGCTGGCCTTGATCCCGGAAGGCCTCCTCCCATCCGGGCCCCGGCAGAGAAGGGCCCCTCGCCTCTGCACGGTGGGAAAGCAGCCATTCGCACATGCAACCAACACTGGAGTTCAGGCTTATGGGGATCCTTTTCCGTACTTTCCCATACACGGTTTCCTGTCTTTGCTGGTAGCTGGAGCACACGAACCTTTGCCTTCTCCTCCTGCCTTGCTCCCGAGGAGACTGTCCGGGGAAGGTGGTTCCCCGGCAGCTGTCTCATATTTATGACTGTCGCAATCGTCCTGGGGGTCACCTGATCCCCCTTTGCGACCTTAACAAGCATGGTATTAACAACCGCAGTGGTTCACTTAAATAGCTGTAGCAAGAAAGGTCGTAAAGTGAGGCAAAACTCGCTTCACCGTTGTCTCGCTTAGCAACAGAAACGTTGAGCTCAACTGTGGTCATAAGTCAAGGAATGCCTGTGTGCTCAAGTGGGTTTGTTTCCTGCCCTGACTGGATGCCCTCTGACTGTTCAGAGGGAGCTCCTGCCGGGAGCGTTTGGCGCCTTCTCCGCCATCAGCCTAAATTGGCCCCACAGGTGGCCTTTTTGGGAGGCTTTTGCCCATGGGGTGGGCCTTACAGGCGGGGCACTTTGGCTTTCCTTCCATGTAATTTATTTATTTATATACCGGATTGGTTGGAGACATGGGAAAGAGGCCTTCATTCTGTGGTGGGTAGACAGTGGCTAAGACAAGGTTGATGAGGGTGATACCAGATTTAGTCCGCCTGTGTTGTGGTTCGCCGGCAGCAGGTGCGGATGGTTGAGATCTCTGATAGTGAGGACTCGAATGAGGGTTGTGTGTGATGCAGCGAAGGGGCCAGGACTATCGGAGAGTGGGGTGCTGCCTTCGGAGCTTGTGGAGTCTGGCAGCAGTGACGGAGGAAAGGTGGCTGTGCCCAGTGTGCGTGGTGTAGGTCTGCTCAAAGGAAAGAGCAGCTGAAGCAGCACAGGCGATTTGGGAGTAAGACTGCAAGGTGATGGCTCCTCCCATAAGGGATAAAAGCCAGCCTTTGGGGTTGGCTTCTTTGCAGGAAGCAAAGAAGTTCTTTCAACTCAAAGTTCTTGTGGGAGTCCTGTATATTCTGGTTTGTTTTCGGAGGCCCCTGGCTTTGGATATTTCTCTGCAATTACTCTTGTGTTCTTGGCAGCCTTTCGCAACCTTGAAAGAGTTTGCTCTTATCTGGGACGCTTAGTTGTTTTTTTTGTAAATTTTGAGTTTTTACAAAAAAAATACAAATAAAACATCTTTTTTGAAAGTAGCGTAATCCCGGGTTACATTTCTTCGTACAGACACAAATTCAATTTCATGCTCATTTTTATGTTCTATTCCATATCTTATTATTGTTTTACATTTTCTGCATAGCTTCTCCCCTCTTTTTATTTTAATTATCTCGCCTCAATTCAAATCATTATATTTATATTTTTTGTCTGTCCTGTTTCAATTATCTATTATCTTTTCTCATTAAACAAAGTTTCTTCTCTAGTTACTGATTGGAGTATGACGCCTTTATATCTTTTAAGTTTATCCATTTAACTCTTATTTAGGCTTCAATATATACCCTAAAGTTATAACATTCAATATAATACATAACTTCCATTCGGATTCTGCTTGGTACATTCTTAAAATACACACTATATTCTTAAAAAAAGAAAAAAATATAAATATATATAATTAAAACAACACATTCCATTCCAATTCAATTCTATCATTAATATTAATATTCATTACTTCTTTAACATTACTAATTAAATATCATACTTCTATGGGAACAATTATAAGCTTTCCATAATTAATTCCCCCTCCTTCACTTATATTTTATAAAACATTAACCAATTAAAATGTTCCCGTCCCTTCCTAATTCAATTATCTCATTTATTTTATTTCACTTATTTTATTCACAAACATTTTACTAAATTACACTAACTATTTTATCCCTCATTTTAATCATACATTGTTTCCAATTTTCTAAAGTTATTTCTATTACTAATATAACAATACAATCTTATGTACCTTTACAGAATCCCTTTTTCAGTTAAATTTTCACCCATTATCTCTAAATAGGCCCTGTTTCTTTATATCTTGTTCCGGTCCTTTGTAACTTCTTTTTCTTTTACCCCCTTGTCTCTCTACCTCTATTTCTCTCTTCTGTATTCCCCTCTTCTGTTGCTTTCCAGTATTATACTTATTTTTCGAATTATTTTTCTTTTCTTTGGTTGTTTTTTTAAGTCTTAAATTCTCCATTCTCTTTCCCCCTTCCTTTTTCTTCCCCACATAGAATTACTTGTTCACTAAAGATGGCTTCTTCTTTGTCCCAGTTTTCTTGTTTTGCAGACGTTTCTTGTTGTTTCTCATAGTTCCAAATCTCCATTTCTACGAATTGAAAAACGAAGCCAAAAGAACCCTTCCCTTCTTGTGCATCTTCTTTGTACTTTTTAAGTTCCATTTCCAATTCATCCAGAAGTAGTGCCATTGTATAAATTTTTAAACAACCACCCGATTAATTTTAGTCATTCAAATGCAATAACCAAGAATCCAAAGATCACCAAGTAATCCAAATACATGCAAGCTGTTTCTTTTTTGCTCTTTTTTTCACTTTCTCTTCCTGGGGTTCTACTGTTTAGTTACAAAGTTTCAGTTAAAATGTATCTTTTAGAAGTCTTGTTGAAGTTTTACTGTAGATTCTTTTTAATTCCAGGCAGTCTCCTCCCTCTTTCCAGATCCTGTCCTTTTATTCTTTTTCTCTGCTTTCCTGCTTGTGAAAAAAAAAATTTAGTGTCCAGAAATCTTTATTATCCCTTTGACATTTTGTTTTATTTTCAGCTTAATTGCCTGTTGATGTCAAAGCGGATTTTTCCGATTTCTTATTTAAGTCTCTTAGTTGTCAGTATAGGGAAGGAGAGAGAAGAAGAAAAAAACCCAAACCTTTCCCTTTTCACTTTCCTTCGCTGCTTCCGACTCTTCTTTGGGAGCGATGTTATTTTTTTGTAAGTTTAAATTCCAGGGTATCTTAGTTGTTGCTTTTGCAATTTAACCCAGTCAGCCAAAACTTTCACTTCTTATCTTCCTCCTGCACATTCTTTTCCGGTCAAGTTCTTCTTTGTGGTGGCCATTTCTGACCACCGCTTCAACTGCCTTCGGGAAAGGGAGTAATGGCCAGCTGAGGAGGAGAGATGCGGCTCTCCTCAACCCTGCTGGCAGTCCCCCCCCCTCTTTACCACCTCTGCGGGGTGGCTTAGCCCCGAAACCAGCTGGCTCGGGGCGCTCCAGCGGCGGGCCCGGACCGAAACCGCGCACAATCGCGGATTTCTGTCTGTCGCCGAAGGAACTCAAACCGGAAGCCTGGGACAATTAGTTTTAATGACTCTTTGCTGTGAATGAACAGAATTCACAGAGAAGCATTTTATAAAGGTTTGCTTTTATATATACTTTGTGTTTGTTTGATTTGAACGAGGCTTGGGTCAGAACAGCCTGCCTCACAGAAGGACCGCAACTTCTATTTTGCTCAAGCTGAGCTTTCAGGAGCCTCCCTGCAGTTAACAGCATCCAGTAATTTCTAACCCTGGCTTTGTGACCGGCTGCCATGAGAATGCTCCAAAGATGTGTCAGATTTTGCAGCAGAAATTCAAATCCAGAAAGCACACACATAAATGTCTGATTCAGCAAGCAGGATTCATTAACTTCTTTATGCACATCATAATATGAGGAAAATGTACAATACCAATAGTAGATTCTTCTGAAGTAACACAAGCAAAACACAAGCAGCAGCTTCAGAGCTGAGAGCAGAGACCAGAGCCACACTCAGGCCACTTCTAGTTTCACTTTCCTTTTTAAAAAAAAATTAATTTAATTTATTATTATTTTTAATTACGAATCTCTGTGGATAAATTCACAGTGGAATTAAAAGGCAAGAATATTATGCGGTTTGGGATAGGTGGTATAAATGGGTAGAACACAGAAATAAGAATTAATGTGTAGGAATAAATGCAAATATATGTATTATTAACGACACAGTGCTGTTAATGTAAATAGAGATCTAGTTTCACTTTCCAGTGCAGCTCCCATTGGCTGGTCTGTTGCCACGCCTATTCATTGACTGACTTTGTTACTTAGCTCTGTTCCAGTTCACAAATATACTCTGACAAGGTGCTTTTTTCCAAAAGGCAGGTAGACTTCCTTGGGCTTTGTTTTTTCTTTTTCCCTTGAAGGCACTTCGCTTCTCATCCAAGAAGATTCTTCAGTTCTGGAGAAAAACTGAACTGAAGAAGGTCCCTGGATGAGAAGCAAAGCGTCTTCGAGGGGGGGGAGGGAAAGAACCCCCAAGGAAGTCCACCTGCCTTTGGAACAACCCTGAGCTGGATGACGGAGACCCTCCCTAGATCATGAAAACAGCCGTAGTTCCACCGGAATTCCCCCTTGGGCTTCTCACAGCCTCCCTCCAAAGCTGACCGGCGCTTTTGCCTGGCAAAGAAAACGGGGTGGGGGGGAGTTGGGGGGGGCAGAGGCCAGGGGTGGGTGGGTGGGCAAGGCTTGCCCTGGCTGGTGTGCGGGATCAGGGTGGCACCCTTGCAGGCAGCATCCGCGGCTTGCTGCGGTTTTTAAGAGCCGGGAACTGAAGGCGGGGGGGGGGGGCGGGGGGGTGTGAGCCTCCCTCTTGGCTAATTGTGAGTCATTTTGTCTGAACTTTGCAAATGCGGAGATCTAAGTCCCAATTAAGACATTACACTTGATGTGATAATTGAGGCTTTTTCTTTAATCCGGGGCCATAAAACGCCGTCTAATTAGGAGGCCCAGAGCCATTGTGATCTGAATTGGTCGGAGTTTAAAACACCCAGGGTGGAAGTCACACCTGGGAGCCAAGCCTCACCGAGGCCAGGCTCTCTAAATTGGTTCTGTTCCCTGTAGAAATGCACGGGGGTGGGGTGGGGGGAGCCCAACGGCTTCAATTAAGTGGCAGCAGCCCCCCCCCAAAATAGGAAATGGGGTGTGGCCTGGGGAAAAGAGGCGGCATCCCAGAGAGGCCGGGCGTGTCCCGCTTGGGCTCCAGTGGGCTGTCAGCTTTGGTGGCGAGGGTGCTGGGTAGAATTTCCAAGGGACCACCTGCATCAGGTACACAGACAGGGGATGGGTTACCCTGAGAGGAGAAAAACCCGGTTGCCGGCAGAAGGAAGGGGTGTCCCTGGAGGGAGGGGCGACCGCCTATGTCCTCCTGCCCTGCCTCCGTGGCTCTGGTTTCTCCGGGGCCCTTAGACATGGTGGCCCCTTGGCAAGGCCAGCGTCTCAGTGCGTTGCCCAACTAGGGAGCTGATGAACCCTTTGCTGAAGGTCTCAGGGATGGAGGACGAGGGAGGGGAAGAGTTTTTTCCAGAAACTCACCCAGCTTCCTGGTTTGCCCATCGTGGGTCCTTGAAGAGGGAGAGGCTGACTGGTTGGCTGGCTCCCATAGATCAGGGCATTTTCTGGCCAGGGTGGGTGACGAGGGCCAGACCCTCGCCCAAGAGAGAGTCCCTTCTCCTCCACCGCAGGCCCCTTGGGGGCTAAATTGCAGTGTCTTCTAGGGGGGCTGTGAGTGGGGGCAGGGAAGGGGGTCCCCGTGGGCTTCTCTGTCTGACGATGACGTCTGTCTTGTCTTCCAGGACGGCTTTTCTGCGCTCCCGACCTCGGCTGCTTCTCCCAGTCCAAAGCCTCGTGTGCCTTGCCGCCTTCGGCCTTGCCCTGCCTTTGGCCATCAGCCTCTTCCCCCAGATGTCCGAGGTCAGTGACACACTCGTTCTGGTCCCTGGAGGATGGGGGGACAAGGGGGGGGCTCTTGTGGAAGGGGCCAAGGGCACCCCTGAGCGCCCTCTCGGTCGACAAAGTGGCAGGTGTGGGGGTCCTGAGCCCACCTGTGTTAGAATTTCAAATTCAGAAAACACACAGATGGCTGATTCAGCAGGATTCATTCACTTCTTTATATACATAATAACATGCTCAGTAAAGTTTACAATACCAATTGTAGATTCTTCCAACTGGTAGAAAGTTACAGGCAAAACACAAGCAGAGAAGCAAAATGGTTTCACTTTAGTTCAGCAGGCAAGCAAGCAAGCAAGTTTCAGTTTCCTCAGAGATGAGCACGGAGCAGAGAGAAACCACGCCTAGATTCCTCCCAGTCTCCACCCCCAATTCAGCTCCCATTGGCTGACCTTGTTAACCATGTCTCTGCCACTTCATGAATATTCTGATAACCTGCTCCAGAGCCTGTAGGGGCTCACTCATCTGCGGCTCCCGCTGCTTCTTGGAGGCACCAAAGGCTGCTGCTTCCGTGAACGGATGAGACCCCTACCGCCCCATGGGACTATCCAGGAGCCCACGAGTCCGATCTCTGCTGGCTCAGGGAAGAGACGCTGCTTGCAGCCTTTGGGCGGGGGAGCAAACGTAGAGCGTGTGGCACCCCAGAAAGTTGTTCTCGCTGCTGCCTCCCTCCCTCCGACCCCCCCATTTCAAGGCCAAGCCAAGAGTCCCAGTTTCCGAGGCCTTTAACCGCCTTTTGCTGCTTTTGTCCCCAAGGGGGCAGGCATGGCCTTTACTTGCAGGTAGCTTTCGGTTTAGGGGGCAGGGCCATCCATTTAACTTTACGGGGTGCTAGATTTGATTGCCGACAGCTGCGTTTTCCTATCCGCTTACTGCAGGAAAGGGTTTAACCCATGTAAGCAGTGGAATAAATAAAAATGGGGAAGGGCAATGCCAATTTGAGAAATAAATAAAAGGTGGGTGGTTGTTTTTTTTTTTTTAAATTCCTTGTCGGTTACATCAATCTGTGGGGTTGGCGACGGGATTTGCATGCCAAGGTCCCAGTTTGGGCAACAGTTTGAGACTAAAAGCATTTTCCTCCTTTGTGCATTGGGATCAGGGAGGGGCATCATCAGAGGAGTGCCGCCTCCCCCTCCCTCGCCCCCTTTGCCCCCCCCCCCGGTCTGCTGGCTTTGCAATAGGCCACCTGGAGTTCCCGGAGCCCTTTCATGAAACACGGGGTGGAGGTGGGGGAAATCGGCCGCCCCGTTTTAATTAGAGCGCCACTTTAATTGATCAAAGGACTTGAATGGGTAACCCAGAGAAGCTGAGGAGAAGCCCACCCCCCCCGAAGGGGCAAGGCAGGGCCGCTCTCAGGCAAGCGCAGAAAACCCGCCTTCGCTGGCTCTGCCCCTGCAGGAAATGGGGCTGGGGGAGGAGAGAGGAGTGAAAACCCGGACTCTTGCGAGGCCCCCCCCCCGTCCAAAGGGGCCTGGGACGGCTGCAGCCCTGGGACCCCGGCACCCCGAGAGGGCGGCCCTCCTGGGCATTTTTGGTTTGGGCTCCTGAGGCGAGGGCTCGGAGGGCCCGTGGGGTGGAGGCTGAGCCTGCCCACATGGGAAGGCAACTGGTGCCTGGCAGGAGGGCCAGAAAGGTTTGAGGGGGGGGGCCTCCTGGTGCATCGACGGCAGGGGTCCCCAAACTTGGCCGCTTTAAGACTTGTGGACTTCAACTCCCAGAATTCTCCAGCCAGCACAGAATTCTGGGAGTTGAAGTCCACAAGTACTTAAGCTCGCCAAGTTTGGGGGACCTCTGGTTTACGGCAAGTCACCGCAGCCAACTCGCCACGGGACAGAAGTTAACCCAACTACCGAAGAAAGAGAGGAATAAAATCACGAAAGGAAGGCGGGGTCAAAAGGAGGGAGAAAATGAAATGGGAAGGGGAAAAAAAAAAGATTAAAATGATTTTTTAAAAAACTGTTTTAAAGCATGAAACCGAATTGTCGAATGGTCTCTCTCGGCGAGTTTGCCCTGTGGCGAGTTGTCCTGGGTTGGCTCTGATGTCCCAGAATGTTCCGGAAGGGCCCCGATATTGGAGAAGTCAAAATGGGGCCCCTTTTTTCCCGCTGCCTGGTTCCCCTTGCCAATCCCCCTGCCCTGGCTGTTTTCCTTGTCCCTTCGAGCCTGGCCTTCTGCCTCCTCCTCCAGGGGGGGCCTTTCTAAGGGTGGATGGATGGGTTTAAACGCTTGGGCCGCCCCCCCACCATCCAAGGGGATTCCGCCTCCCTGGAGCTTCAGATGAGGGTCTTGGAGGGAGCTGGAAGGAGGGAGGGCAGAGCAGGGCGGCTGGAGGGAACAAGGCCACACAAGGGAGCCCAGCGCTTAGTCCCTCAGCAGGGCCAGCCAGATGCTGCTGGGTGTGTGTGTGTGTGTGTGTGTGGAAGGCACCAGATGTACAGGGGGAAACGCCCAGCCCTCCCCCAGCACCTGAGAGGTGAATTTGAAACTTTCCAAGCCAGCGGCCATTGTCAGTTCTGGGGCTCTGAACCGCCCAAGTTAGCAGCGATGATTCCCTGCGTGATGCCCCCGTTTCAAGTCTCAAACCCTTGCCAGTGGGAGGGGGGCTTGGCTGGCCATGCTGCTTGCTTGCAGTGAGGAAGAAACTCCTCCTCCTCCTCTTCCTGTTCCTCTTCCTGTTCCTCCTCCTCCTCTTCCTCCACCTTTTTTCCTCCTCTTCCTCCACCTTTTTTCCTGCTCCTCCTCCTCTTCCTTCTCCTCCTCTTCCTCCACCTTTTATCCTCCTCTTCCTCCTTATCCTCTTCACCTTTTTTCCTCTTCTTCCTCCTCCTCTTCTTGTTCCTCCTCCTCATCTTCCTCCACCTCCTCCTCTTCCTCCTCCTCCTCCTCTTCCTCCACCTTTTTTCCTCCTCTTCCTCCTCTCCCTGTTCCTCCTCCTCTTCTTCCTCCACCATTTTCCTCCTCTTCCTCCTCCTCCTCCTCTTCCTCCACC